TGGAGGTCGGTGGTCGGGAGCTTGTGACGACAGCGCTGATTACCACAGTTGATTACACCAGTTCGTCACATCGGATATTCTGCTCTCGACTTCACCAAGGATGAGTGGAATTGCTATTTTCAAAGACAGAAAAGGAATTCCCAAGATATGTATCATAAACTTGAGCACCTCGTTGGGCACTCCTCTCCTGTTGCCTTGTTGTCTTGACGCCTTGGTGCCTTGATGCCTTAAATAGGTGGTGTTAGTCTTTTTACTATCCCTAGTTGGGATTAGTGTCAAATGTCTACAACCTTATGTACATCTGGAGAATATACAACATGGATTCATTACCACCAGAATTGATTTCCCGAGTGTTGGACTACATCATTCCTGTCAGATATTCAAGAAGGTCTTCCGATATTTCCCTGGCTTCATATGCCACCTTGAATCGTCGCTAGCTGCTACTTATAGATCACCTGATTTGTCTGATCCGGGGTACGCATCTTTAGTCAGCACCTTTAGCTGATTATGTAACCCACAGTTGAGCATCTGCCCATTTAGACAATTACACTCATACCTTTGGTTAGTACTATCTTATTAGTTCACAGTCCTATTGCTATTGTCGAACTATTTATTTATGTACTCATTTCTGTCAGGTATCACTACCGTACGGGAATGGCAAAACAATAACTATGGCACGCTAACCATATTCCGTAATTCACCGTCATCAGATACTACAATGGATGTTTGTATAGAGCTGGAAATATAGACACAAAAGTAGCATGTATAAATATCCACATTCTATACATTAAATAACAGAAACAAGCTAGGAATTGTTCCCGACCTGGAATAATGAATTGATGATTCATGCACTCTTAGCTCAATCCAAGGCAAATTCCCCAACTACGTCACTTCGCAATCATCCATGCTTGGCTCTTTCTTGCTTCTTTCTTTAAAATCTTGCTGTGTTTCTATTCTCTTCACTGGCATATTCATACTTTACTTGCCACCAAAATACCCCTATTTTGTCAAACATTCTACACCATGAAGTTGAATTTGGCCACTGGCCTCATCTGCTTGCTCGCTTCCACTGAAGTAGTGGCAGCTTCTAGCTGGTGGAACAAGGCTCGTATGTTGTCTTGGGTACAAATATACCCTTCGCAAGCTAATATCATCAGCAGTCTACAACAAATGGCATGAAACTGAGCTCGAGCGATGGCTCTCCGATCATAGTATGAAGCACTTCTCTGTCTAACAGCTTCAATTACTCACAATTCACACAGATATCCCCTACCCCAGTCCTGCCGATCGCCGCGATCTGGAGAACCTTGTCAAGACCAACTGGGACAGCAGAGTGCAAACACCCCTTGGACAAGCTGTCGACAACGTCAATCATGAGCTCCACCATGCCAGAGAATGGATTTTTGATAGGTAGGGTGCTTACCTTTCCCTGTTGTGAATGAAGGCTAACCGGTATAGTTGGTCTGACTCTCAGTTGAAGGCATTCCTCGATCGCCACGGCATCCCTGCCCCCCAGCCCCGCAGACACGACCTTCTGGTCAAGACCGCGCGTGAGAACTATGAGAAGATAGCTACCAAAGTTGGCCAAACGGCTGCCTACCCCGGAGACTGGCTTTATGCGGAGTGGTCCGACTCGGATCTCAAGGAATGGCTCGACGAGCGTGGATGGCCGGTGCCTCAGCCTTCCGAGCGTGACAAGCTCATTGCCTCGGTTCGCCGCAACTCGCGTATTTTCAGCCTGCAGACCCAGAGTATTGCTGCATCTGCATCCGCTGAGGCTGAGGCTGTTAAGGAGACTCTGAGTAATCAGCTTTTCAATGCCTGGTCCGACTCGAAGCTGAAGGAATTCCTTGACGAGCACAATGTCAAGGTGCCTCAAGGCTCGAAGCGCAATGAGCTCATTGCTCTGGCTCGGAAGAACCGTCACTATCTTTCTGACCAGGTGTCGAGTGCCTCCTCCGCTGTAGAGGGTGCGTTTGGCGCTGCTACCACCAAGGCTGGGAACGAATATGCACAGGCTACCGATTATGCCAAGCTGAAGATCGACGATGCTTTCGAGACTGCGTTGAATGGTTGGTCTGACTCCCGCTTGAAGGCGTTCCTTGATGCCCGAAGCGTCCCTGTCCCTCAGAACGGCAAGCGTGATGAACTTGTTGCCAAGGTCCGCGCCAATGCGCACAAGGCTGCTGGTGGATGGAACCAGTACAACTTCGATACTTGGGATAAAGAACACCTGGTGTAAGTACATACTTGTCTGCTGGTTATGATCTCACTGGCTTACCTTTCCTAGGAACTACTTGTCGTCCGTGAACCACAAGGCGATCCAGCAGGCCGATGCCTCACGCGAACAACTTGTGAAGAGTGCCCAGGACTCCTACGCCAAGGCTTCCAAGGCTGGCGGCGAACAGTACGCCTCTGCGACTTCTTCCATCGCGCATGCAACAGACGCAGCCAAGGATGCTACTTTCGACCAATGGTCGCACTCCGAGCTCAAGGAATACCTGGACGACTACGGTGTCCCGACCTACCAGGGCTCGAGCATCAACGAACTCCGAGCTGCCGCCCGGCGCAACGCCCATTACTATAAGTACGGCACTGCGAGCCCGCAAGCTACGATCTACGCCAAGGTCATGAGTGTTTTGCAGTGGTTTGTCGATCAGTTGAAGATCGGCGCTGCTAGCGGCCGCGCCCAAGGCACTGAAGCTGCTGAAAAGGTCCAGAAGAAGGTTTCCGAGCACACGGAGAGATTGCGTGAAGAACTTTGAACTACCCTCTTTATATTTGATCTTTCTTGTTTTTGTTCCACAATAATTTGGGATGCACGATTGGTTTGATGTATTTTAAAGTTACGATGATTATGACATTTGGATTGTAACCTGTGAACTGCCTTTTCGCGTTAGTTTTGCCTTTTGGGTTTAGTGCCCAAATACGCCGTTCGTACATATGTAACCACCTTTCAGCATAAAAGAAACGATCTCGCCCGCCTTTTTAGACTGGGTCTTCCTATAGTCGCCGAGACCTCTACTTCACCTGTGTTATCTCGAAGATGACGCCCGGGGGGGTTGAAGTCGAGGCCGGCCTCCACGACTTAAACCACAACACAACAAAGACCATTTCCGACTCTAGCTTTTTCAGGGAGCATCGGGCGTCTACGCTCCCTACCCCAGCCGAGGTGAGAGCCATCAACGAGGAGTCAGGCAACATCTGTGGCACAAGCTTCAACCGACCCCCGCCTGTCAAGTTTCCATCGTTGGGCCTGATTGTCAAATATGGAGCCGATACAACCGTCACAGAGGCAGGGACCCAGAATATGGTATACAAGCAGTTGAAAGGCAAAGTACCAGTTTCTGAGGTATTTGGGTGGACCGAAGATGGTGACCAAGTATTTATCTACATGTCTTTGATAGGGGGCGAAACCTTGGAGCAAAGATGGGGTGCTTTGAGCGACGAGGAGAGAGAGGCTGTCTGTAAAGAGCTCAACGGCATGGTCAAGGCCTGGAGATCGTTAGAACAGCCCAACGAAGTCCTTTACGTAGGTAAGTTATTTGAATTCATTGCGTTAGCTAGGCAGAACTATGCTAAAGTGCTTCTTAGGTGGCCTAAATAATCAACCTCTAAATGAAATCTTTCTTTCCGGCCACCGGGACTTGGCCGGCCCATTCCACGGTGCAGACGCCGTCCAAAAATTCCAGAATGCCTGCGATATCGAGATTGATGGGGAGGTGTCTGTGGTCTTCACGCATGACGACCTTGTGCCCCCAAATATCATTTTATCGCCCGGGCCGAATCCAGTAGTAGCTGCCGTCATTGATTGGGGCCAGGCAGGGTGGTATCCTGCCTACTGGGAGTATTGCAAGGCGCGTCGCGTCAGGCCGAATCCGGAATATTTTGAGGACCTGGAAGAAGAATGGAGGACGAGATACCTGCCAACTATTTTGGACCCGGTCGATGATGAGACTGTATACCACCCTTGGCTGTGGTTTGTCTTGTCCGAGGGTTTCTAGTTATGTGAATGAAGATGTGGGACTATACAACCGTGGTAGATAGAAAATATATATGAATTATGTATATACTGTATCCCTGACAGTAGTTCCTAGAGGACCTACGGCCCCCAGGAGTGAATGATGTAGCTTCAACGAACGAGGAGTCAGCTCATACTAACTATGTCTGCTTGGTCAATGGACCTAGCCAAAGCATGAGATCCGTCTTCATATTGAACTGCGGGTCAGTTGCGATAGCATCCTGGAGATTCAAGAGGGCGATGTGATCTTTTGCAAAAGGTCCGATGTATGAGTAAATATTATACCTTTATCCAAGCTTCAAATTCAATTACTTATTAAATACCAATTCCCAGTTTATATAACTACAAAATTCAGAGTCAGATATGCGTCTCAAAAGCGGTCATTTTCGGCGTCAATCCTATAGGCTATGTGTAACATTTGAGGCCCAAGGTTCTTATTATAGATTACTTATAGTCTTTTATTCCAAGATGGAAAATACAGGTACAATATTGTAGTTACCGAGGACGGTGAAAGGAAGTACAACATAGAAAAGGACTACTCCGTATACTATACCCCTTTCCCTCCCCACCCAAGCGGAGGCATATAATAACCACAAGTTTCCATTTCACACCGCTATTTTCCTGAATTGCCACTCTATATATTGAGCGATTTACAACCTCATTTCGGTTAGTATACTAGTCGGCGGATTATGTGTTGTCCTTGACGGTGTAGGATTAATAATCTGATCCATTTGGTCTAGGCTCATAGTATGGATGCGATATAAAATCTTCTAGTCTTTTTTAATTTCTTTTTAATCGCTTTCATCTTACTACCGCACATGATCTGAAAAGTGCCCCTATAGGCACGTGACTAATCTGCAGCCTCCCGGGATCCCCACTTGACACTCCCGAGGTCGCCTTCCTCCCGTCCAATAAAACCACTTCCGAGGTCCACCACCGGTTTTCCCTCCGTTGTGTACATTTCATCGCCTCATATGCCATGCCCAAGAGAAGCAACACATCTTCAGTGAAGCGTCGACTTCGAATGCTGATCCATGGTCGTAGAGCTCAAGTGATTTCAAGACATTATGGGTTCCAAAATACAAGACCAAGAGCAGCAGGGAAGGTTCTCCCCGCGTATATGCAAACCAATCTGCTACCCCTAACCCAATCTTCTTCGGCCGCCGGCAAGCATCCAAACGCCGCTCCTATCACTGCTCCTCAGCTGCGCGCCCGAGGAACCGGTGAGATTAATCGCTTGGACTAGTTCTTCCTGGCCGTCTCCGCTCCCTTGAAATGTCTGATCGACTGCACACTGGCGGTCAAGATGCACTCGCCAACGATATTTTGCATCATATAACAATGCTAGTGGCAGAGCATTGACCAGCCGGGTTACAATTCAGGGACCTGAGATAGTCTTGCAAATCAAGCCCAGATTCGGTTGCGCTTTTAAATTGATGCTGAAAAAAAATAAATCACATATCCCTTGGCTTGTCCTCGTAAATAAATATCGGCCATTGTCGTACACACCCTCCACAATGAATATGTATTCACCCAATCGTTGTGGTGTGGAATCACGATTTAGGAGCTTCGGGATCACCCTCAGCCACCAACTTTCCAACGACCAAGTACTTCTCCATGAAGCGGTCTTCCCAGGACTGCAGGTTCTCCAGCTGATCCGCATCCAAATCCTTCAAATCATCCAACGGCGCCGACAGATCCTTGGTCAGCATTTCCTCATCGAAGCTCTGGAAAGCCAAGCCGCGCGACGCGTCCCGGCCAGCGAAGTTCTCGTAAGGTCCGCCCTGTTACATTTCGTCAGCTTCAGCTCCAACAGCGCCAGCCGGTGTTCTTTCGCGAATTCCAAACACATACCGGTCCATAGAAGTTCCTGCCAGGGGTGACGTCGAAGACGCGCCCGCGGACAGATAGGTAAACGGGGCGGCCTTCCTCGCCGTTGAACTCAATAAGAGTTTTGGGGATGTAGGTCTTGAAGACAGTTGGCGGCGGCGCACGGGGGAGAGTGATGGGCGCCCTGGGACGGAAGTGCCAGTACACCAAGACTCCGAAGAGCGAGACTAAGACTAGGTTGATGGGCGTCGCGATAGACATCCTGTTGGGTAGCGGTTAGCTGGGTTGGTGACGGGTGAGATCTGGGGGGGGACACGAACACTTCAGGCTGTGGCGCAGAATGATCTGCAGTTTTAGTTTCTAGATTAGCGGGTGTTCAGAACATGAGCAGCAAAGGACATACCCATCGAGGCAGATCTTTTGTATTTAGAGAAAGCACACCGGAACCTCGGGATGACATCTTCTCCCCGCTCCACGTGATTGGAAGCTTACATATTCTCTTTCATTCTTTGGCTTCATGAATTTAGATTTAGGAGTCGTCTACTTCTCTCACGTGCGGGCTAGAGACTAGGCTCTCGGACTTCAGATTGAAAATGTAAAACGCCGACGAGTCCCTGAATTTGTTTCAAGACTCTCCACTGACTATCGCCCCCAATTTAATCTGCCCACTCCTATTAGCGGATGTCATGTTATTTCAAGTTTCAAGTTATTTTTATCGTCTAGTTCCTCCTTCCCTGCATTTTGCCTAGGTGTTCGAGTCATTTTTATCTATATAATTTGTTCGCGCGTTCTTCCTTTATTCCATAGGCTTCCGTGGCCGTGCACTGTCGCCGAGAAAACAGAGCCCCTTCTAATATTCTGCGGTCCTTTGCCTCTTCTTTCTCCCTTTCATCCTCTCTCTTGTGACTGAAATCCATTCCATCATTTTGCGTGAACTCCGCGCTATCATTTCCGACCAAAATCAGCCCTGTGTCACGTCTAGAGCGTGAGAAAATCCGATATGTGGTCTAAGAGACCGTTTCACAAGCCCAAACGGCCTTCGATTAGCGGCCCCATATTGAATGGCAATCCACCTACCACATCAGACCCTGTTCATGATATGGTCGCCAAAAGATTGCCCGCTCTGCCTGAGTAAGTCTTGTGTTTGCTACGTGTTTAATAGATAGCTAATGGAAATCAGCGACTTACATTCATTACAATCAGATGTCCTGCGTGAGGATATCAAAAGGCCGCCGGGCGTGTCGCCTGCCATTTCGCCGGTGCTTGAAGCGCACAGGCGAGCAAGCGAAAGTAGTTTCTGTGTCTCGCCTATTGGCGACGGCGACCAATTTTCTGATTATGCGCGACAGGAGAATGGGACCTTGTCTTCACCAACTCCTATTCCCAAGGCAGACTATGTTGACACACCCTCTCACTCCCGGGTTCAACCTGTCCAACCTGTCCAGTATCTCCAACATGATTACGACTCTAGGCGATTCATCTCTGGTAAATCAACGCACTGGAATAATTTCTCAGCCGAACCGACCTTGAGTGATGTTGTTAGAGTTGGTGATACCCGTCAAACCTCTCTCCAAAAAGCCTCCGGGCCTGGGGCTCCTGCTCCTGCTCCTGCTCCCACTACCAACCTACTGAATTGGGGCCAGGGGTTCAACCCCAAGAAGACCCTCAATGCGGCTCGAAGCCGGATCACCAGTTTCTCGAAGACCGAAGAGCTTTCGCAAAAGGCACCCAGAAGTAGATCGGCGTCACGTGGGCTTCCAGTGGAAGAGCGTACCAGCAAGCGCAACGGCAACGGTGCGCTAAAGACGAGTCCCCAGCTCGATAACTTTGGCTTTGCTCCTACAACTGTGACCACTATCACCGGCGGTGGTCCAGCATCCGTTCCCCGGAGACCGGCAACAGAGCACGTCCAAAGCCGCCTGCCAGAGGAGCAGAAACCAATATTCAAGTTCGATAACGATTTCAGCGATATGATGTTCACGACCGAGGAGCCCATTAGCCGTTTCAGCTCAACTACATACACAGCCACCGAGCCGGGAAGTCGAGATCCAAGCCCGCGAGTGAGTATGCAGCTCGAAAACCGGTCTATGGACGATGTTTCCACGTCCTCTATCATGTCCCGACGCCGCCCAATTCCAATCAGCGTGCCGACTTCGAAGAAGCCCGTCCGAAAACCCACTCCATCCGAGGCCGCACAGCAAATCGCGGATATGTCCGCGCAGGCGTCTTCGCCTCCACCCGAGGTGCCACTCGATGCGCATGGCCGCATTAAGGCAATGGAGGACAAGAGGGATGATCTCAATCAGCGCAGATTGAATTTGCAGGCGTTAATCCTCGAGTTGAGAAAGGTTGTTCAGCCTACTTCGGCTGTGTATGACCTGGCTGCTAGAAACGAGGCCCAGAAGAGCATCAAAGGCATCGAAGACAAGCTTGCAGATATCAAGAAAGAAGAGCACGACCTTGGCCTGAAGATTACTCGAGCGTGGCGTCGCCTAGACGAGAAGGAGAATGCCGGCGATGGCAATAATCTCTGGGTCAAGCGAGTCACTAGTTAGTGGCTGTTGAGTTGTGAATTGGTCCATGCGCGGTTGATCTTGATTTCATTTCTGCAATTGTGGAGTTGTTAGCGTCCTGTTTGATTCTACTTTTTCAAGGCAATGTGCTTGTTCCTTTTTCGATATTGCGACATGGTGGTTGTGTTTTGAGCGTTCGATTCCCTGCATTGGCAGCCTACATGGCAGGATGATACCCACTTCGGAAGCCCAAGCAGTGGCGGTTTATGTTGATGTATTCTAGTCTGATTAATCTCATTGCTTCTTAAAAAACAGGAAACTTGTATGTGAAAAGCGATCAAGCGCGAAATAGGTATTGGTGGCTAAAGATATACAGAAGACCCATAGGAAATAACTATGAGTGCAGTGATGCTGATGCGATCACACAACCACCCATCCTCCGCTCGCTCATTGTACATGGCTCGTGTAGGTCGTGAATATGTACTCAAGAAACCTGGTGTCAAGGCTCGTTGGGGGATTGTTGGCAAGTGATTTATCGAGGAGTATTCGATCCGTTTATTTCTTGCCGGACTTCTTGATGCCTTGCTGGCCGGTGTTGAGAGGACCCTTCTTGCCCTTGGCCGCTTCCTGCATGTCCTTGCGGGCCTTGGCATCTAGTGGAAGTTAGTAACTGACTTCGTGAAGAGTGTGAGGAAAGCCATACCAGCCCTAAGCTTGGCCTGGTGAGCGAGCTCATCCTCATCCAGCTCCTTCTTCTCCTTCTTGGCTGCCTTCAAGGGCTTGGCCTTGCCACCTGTAGATCATAAGTATTAGTGAACAGGATTCCAAGAATACTAGAATGCGAGGTAATACGAACCTTCTCTGCCGATACCACCCATTTTGTCTGAATAAAATAACTGGGAGAGCGGGTTGGAAAGAGTCTTGATAGCGCAGGGTGTTTAGACGGCGTTGGCGAAGAAAAAAATTACATGAGGGGTGCTTATCCATACCTTCTATGGCTGGGGCGATGATCGGGCTATTTTTGTGAATATTACTAGCGGTATAATTTATGGTATTATTTCAAGAACATACACAAATGATGTGCTGCAATCAGGGTGATTACATAAATCTGGCATTGGTAATACTCGAAGGCTAGACTGTATCTGGTTAGTGCCATATCCAAAAGTTATATTCCCCGCGGAGATACACCACAGGGTAGACGGCAAAAACTTCAATCCACCGCCTACTTCAACCAGACTAGCGTCGATTCTGCCTTATCGACCATTGAGCAACTCGCCATGGCTTTTCAATCGTTCTCTTGCTGTCATCGACATCCTGCACGTGCTTTTATCTACTTCTCAAGCCTGTTCTTCAGAAAGCTATGCGCCTGGGAATTTAATCACTTTTGCAAGGCTTTGGTGTGAAGGCAGGCCTCTTACAGCCGGTTGGATTTCACAAACCCTTTGAGAAGACTTATTTGTCGCTGGCGCTTTTGCTAACTAAGCTTTGTTGTTGAAGCTTCACTCCAAAAGCTGAGTGAAGTGAACCCAAGAGAAAAGTACTGTCCATACGTGTCGTTTGAATCCCTCGAACGTAAACATGTCCCTTCCCAGGTCGAGGTCCCCATCGGTCCCCTCTGAGGGTGAGATCGTCGAATCAGGCCCAGAGACGAAGGCAACTGCGTCACAACCTCCTCTTAATGGCACCAGCGTTGACCGTCCCACCAGAGCTAGCCCATCCTCTGCGCCCGGATCTCCCGCCTCGTTGAAAGACACTCGATCGCCACCCCGGCAGAGGTCGCGGACCAGGTCCCACTCGAGATCCCGCTCTCGCTCCCCGTACAGAGAGAATAAGACCAAGCGCAGTCTCGACGACCCCGAGTCCTATGATGGATCCTACGACCGGCGACCCCGCAATGAGCCTCCGCGGCGCTACAGGTCTAGGTATGACGACAGACGGCGTGACAGACCTGGTCCTAACAGGCGCCCGAACTCATACTACGACTATGACCGCGAAGAGACGTACGGAGAAGCGCTACGATACAGTGATGATTACGACCGGAATGACCGACACAAGGACAAGCGGCAGCGCACCCGCAGCCGCTCTCGATCCCCTTACCGGGAATCGAGAAAACCCAAGCAGTATTCAGGCGACGAACTTGATACAAATGTTAATGCCAGGTCTTCAGCGGATAATGGAAGGCGCTTGCCCACTGAACAGTTGGTGAGGGAACGCGGAAAGGCTTCGGTTGGAGCTTCGGACTTGAAGCTTGGTGCTGAAAAAGAAAAGAACCAGGTGCAGGCTTCTTCTAATCTGAAAGCTCATGTGGCTGACGAGTATGTTTATTTTGTTGCTGGCGAAAAAGAACGTGTGGCTAATATCCGTCTCAGAGAAACACCTAACCCAGAGCTTGCGCAAGAGCCGGAGCTGGCTGAGCCCATTGACGAAGCTGCTGCACTTGAAGCTCGTCGGAAACGCCGTGAAGCTATTCGGGCGAAACACCGAAGCCAAGCGACGCCTCTACATCTCAAAGCACTGAACGTCGAGGTTGAAACGGATTCATCTACGCCTGGCACTGAGCCAACTAGCGCAAAGGAAGCATCTGGTATATTTCTCTCGGACAAGCTTACCCTGGTATCGAAACTGACGCCTGGAAACTCAATAGATTCTCCGCGAGCATCCCCCTTCGAACAACCCGGGGAGGCATTCCCTGGTTTTGTTGGAAAAGATATGGATGTGGTCAACGCCAATGCGCCTGTTGGCACTGACAAGGATGAGTCCTCTGCTGCTGATTATGATCCAACCCTTGATACAAAGGAAGAAAGACAAAAACATGGCAATGTTCAGGATGGAAAGGACGACATTTCGTCTGCAGCATACGATGAAACTAAGACTGGCAAGCAAGATATCCTCCTCCCTGATGCTCCCCCAGTGCCACCGCCGAAGACCAAGGCCTTCGATATGTTTGCAGATGACGACGATGACATGTTCGCAGAGGAAGAACCTGATGCCAAGCCGGCGCATGCTTCGGCCACAGCTGTACCCCAGGGCAGGGAACTAGACGTCAGCATGATGGATAACTGGGATGATTCGGAGGGCTATTACGCCGTTCGACTGGGAGAGCTGATCAACGGAAGATACCATGTCCATCAGAATCTTGGCAAGGGAATGTTCTCGTCTGTCGTACGTGCAACTGACACGCAGACAGGGGGTCTGGTTGCCGTCAAGATCATTCGCCAGAACGCCATCATGCGCAAGGCCGGTATGAAGGAAATTGGCATCCTCGAGCAACTCCAGGAAGCCGACCCGCTAAACCAAATGCACCTCATCAAGTTCGACCGATATTTCGATCACAAGGGCCACTTGTGTATGGTGTTTGAGAACCTTAGCATGGACCTGCGTGAGGTCCTGAAAAGGTTCGGTAGGGACATTGGCTTGAACATACGCGCGGTACGGGCCTACGGCCAGCAGATTTTCCTTGGGCTGTGTCACCTTCGGCGGTGTAACATCCTGCATGCAGATCTCAAGCCAGATAATCTCCTTGTGAACGAGCAACGCAACATTCTGAAAGTTTGTGATCTAGGTTCGGCGTCGCCGGCCTCTGACAATGAGATTACGCCTTACCTCGTCAGTCGTTTCTACCGTGCCCCAGAGATCATCCTGGGTATCCCTTACGACTACGCCATCGATGTCTGGTCCATTGGCTGTACCCTCTTTGAGCTGTACACGGGCAAGATCCTCTTCACCGGCCGAAACAACAACCAGATGCTTCGGTCCATCATGGAGTGCCGGGGCAAGTACCCGCCGAAGCTGCTTCGCCGCGGAACCTTGTCGCCTCACCACTTCGATGAAATGCTCAACTTCCACAGCGTGGAGGAAGACAAGATCACCGGCCGTCTGCACACCAAGATTGTGGACTTTAAGAAACCGACGCGGGACTTGAAGACGCGCCTCATGGCACAGGGAACCCGCGGGATGCCAGATTCCGAGGTTAAAGAACTGAGCTTGTTCTTGGACCTCCTCGACCGGTGCTTGAGTCTCAACCCCGAGAAACGGATCACGCCTGCCGAGGCATTGAAGCACCCGTTCCTGGCCCCTAGGGTGTGAACAAGGATTTGCATTGATTCGTTGACCAGGGTCCAACCCTGGTCCTGGGATGGCGTAGCTCGGAAGGATCGGCGTTATCGGGGAGGTTGATCTATGGGGATTCTTTGTCCATATGGAACAGTAACTAGGTTCAAATCAAGTCCATATGTAACATTTTCACAAAGCAACCCCTGTCTATCCTCGGACCATGTTGTAGGACTCCTGCCAAACCGGGAGTGGCTTAGGATTTATCCAACCTCTCATTAGAGCATAAACCTAGCGCAGTATCGAACAAAGAAACCCGACCAGCTCCTACCAAAAACAACCTAGCTCTACTCCGTACCTAGGCCCCAGCACATCGGTAGCGCGCGATAATTCATTCATCACTATCACTATCACCAACAAAGAACCACCCAACAAACACAAGGCCCCCGTCGCGGCCCCCCTTCCCTTCGGCCCTAGCCCCCTATCGACCCAAGCCCCTGGAACTATAGATCTGTACATAACTAGGTAACCAACTAATCAAACTCAACTCCACTCCACGCTACCTATCGTATAATTGCAAGCACATCGTATGATGCCAAACAAAGAACCCCAAACCTTCAAGCCCAGATCCAATCCAATCCCAACACGGCAACACACCAAACTCACCAGTGACCAAACTCACAAACCCTCGGACCTCTCCCCGCGAGACCACTAAAAACAAAAAACCCACGTAGCCAACGCCCACGTAAGAACCGTAAGAAGTTCTAGATCGCCTCTAAGCCAAACTCAGTCTTAGGCCAGTCTGCACCCCCGTGGCTTCGTGGGTATCTAGCCGAAACCTTGGGCGTTTTCCGGTTCTGAGTTTCTGATTGGGGGTTATGTCCTTGGATTCGGGATAGTCTATCTTGGTTTAACCATGGGAGTGAACTAGTAACTAGCAATTAACTAAGATAGATAATGGATGATAGATAGGTGGATGCGGGATTATCTGATTGGCACGGTGCGCAATGCATGTCGAATGGAGTACAGGACACTAAGAGTGCACTATTGCCTCCTTTCATGGGTCTGTTCTCCTAGGGGCGGCAAAAGGCGGGGTTCTTTTTGCAAATTGCGCTCGTGTTTCCCGGCCGTTGGTGGCCATTGGGTGGAAGACGTGTCGTCGAGGTAATTGTTGGCAAATGGGAGGATGGGAGGATGGTGAGGATTGGCTTTGGGCTTGGCTTTGGGCTTGGCTTAGATTTGGATGGATGCCGATGGCTGCCGATGGAGTGTTTTTTTTCTTTTTCCTACGTTTGTGTTATTATTTGCTTTTGGTCTGGCTAACTAGTTACTTGGGGATAATTGTTTCTGTATGTTGTATGTTGTATATTGTAGTTATATTGTACGGTCGGAAAAAGCAATGCGAAATGGATATCTGTTCCGTGATTTACTTGCATGTGTTTAATTTAGGGACTACAACATACGTACTCGATCCCTAGTATACAATGTACATCATACCTGTAGTCATCATCTCAATATCCAATATCCATTTCAACTATGTTTGCACGGTCATACAATTCCGTTGTAGTCCATGGGCTGCTTCAAGTGGAGTGTTCCAGAAGGCGACGGCGATCAACGGAAGAAAGGAGCCCCTTGCCACCGTCTGAAATCCAGGACAAATGCAAATCCAAATGCCACGAGCGAAACCGCCCGTGGCAAAAGACTCCGCCCAAATAGGACGGGCGTTTAATCTCCGGCCCCCTTTCGTCAGGTTATTGGTCTATTGGCTGTGATCGGGACCTAGACATGGATGTTCGCGCCTTGTTTTCTTAGCCCGAGTAATCATGATGTCGAGATGTGTTTATATTGTGGGTCCCGCCACCTGCAGGGCGAGGGCATCTACATTGGGGAGTTGGGCGTTAAGAGGCAATTGAAGGGTAGCTGTGTAGTTATTACTCCGTAAAGTGAGGGCAATGTGCTTATTGGGTGGGCATATGGGATCGGCGGTTGCAGTTGAGTATCATACTTGCGTTGGAGGAGTTGGAGGTAGAGTAGTTGGTTTCCAATAAGTTGGCCACAGATAGTTGCATTGTACGGAGTACATGTACACTATTCTCTCACAGTCGTACAGTAACCGTCTCTGTTGTCTCCGTAGTGAATCATAGCGGTGTAGACCGAAACCAGAAGCCGAAACCAACGCTACAACACCTCACACGCCCGAACACAACATCTGCCGGTCGCAGAACCAAAAAAAGCAACAACGTCACAAAAAGCAACGGCCCGGTTCCGAGCGAAAACGAGAACATTGCTTGCTCTTTGGACGAGCCAGCTGCATTGCTAATCCTGGGGTACATAACTACCGGTAATACATTAATCTATGGTCGGAGGCAAGGCACGGGACACCAAAGGGGACGGGCGTCTATCACAATCACATATGGCACATATCATATCACACGAGTCGGCAGATTCTACATCTTGTCAGACAGCGGACATGGTACATGAGACTCTCTGCATGGGCAGGTTTCGGGGTGAGAACCGATAACGGATGTGATGAATCGTAACCCCGGTCTTTCTATCAGGTGATTGGACTGGATGCGGGCGTCGATCTAGGGTTGGTTGCTCACCGCAATGTAGAGTACCTAGACAACATAACAGATACATCTCAACTATAACATATAACATATACAATATACAATATACAACATGAATATAATATATACAACATAGTTTGAATCAGTCAGACTCGGATCAATACTTGGCCCTTTGCCTTGTATGACGCAAGTGAGATACAGACAAAGAACTTAGAAGTGAGATTGAAGACTCGACGAGGCAACTTTATGTTTGCAGGGGCTATTCTTACCGGGGCTGTGCGGAGTACTGGAACTATGGAGTACATCTCCGTGCTTACGAGAGAAAGGTAGCCCAGCCACCCAGAACATAGAACAGAACCAGAGCCAGAACCAACAGAACGAGGTCGACCTAAAGAATAGCACCAATAGTAATACGAGTTTCCTCCAAGCCGTCCGAGAAGGTCAAGGTACATTAGCGCCAGGAGAAGCAGATGAAGTGTATGGCCCGTGCAGAACTAGTCAGCAGGGAAGCGCCAACCTCCACTGGCCACTGGCCCTCCACTGGCTTTAGGGGGTTTCTCGAAAATCGAACGGTTCGGGCAAATGGTTGGCCATAGCGCCCCTCCATCATCGCCTCACTCTCGGACTTGTTTAGCGTGTCTAGACCAAGTACGGAGTACTCGGTGGGGTGTGGGATAAAGTTGGGTGTCTGTGCAAAGACGGTGTAGAAGATACCTGGTCTCTTCACAATCAACAGAGAACGTAATTAGTGAAGACAGATGCATCAATCATTCCGATCCATGGTAGCATAGGAGGAGTAGCTTGGACCAAGATCTCAATGCCATAGCTTTGCGGGGCTGGGGCCTGATTGGCAGAATGTGAGTGGCGGGTGTGTTGGCAGTGTGTCGCAGTGTGTCAGGAGGTTTCAAGGCAGAAACACCGTTGGGGGGAACAGGGGTTGGGATACGTGGATAAAGCTTTGCCACACTAGGCCTAGAACGGAACAACCTTGTGCAGCGTGGAAACTGAATTGGGGGGAAATAGGAGACACTCTGCAGCGTCCTGGTCGATCGTTATGATCCCATGGCCCAATCATCGGTTGTGGCGGCTGCAGGAAAGACCGGCCGAGGTCTAATGATTGGTCCGACCACACTCGGGCATGCACACCGCTTCGTACACATGGCCTATTATTATTTGGGGGGGAATAATCTGGTTTAGTGCCACTCTAGGTGCCACTCCAGGTGCCACACTCCAAGGTGTATATTTTTGTACGCATCATACATTTATTTTTATTTATTTTTAATTTTAATTTGATTTTGATTTAATTTAATTCCTTTTCATTCGATCCTTTCCTCTTTCGGATTTTAATATAATTTCCTTTTCGACTAGCGCCCTTTTCCCGTTTGTTTTATTATTGTTCTTCTCGAACCACGAGGCGGCCATCTGCCTGATACATCTCTATAATAATCCTCCTTCTCTCTCGACTTCGCGACTTTGTATATTTCACATCCCTTTCTCCTACCTTGACTACCTCGCCTTCTCTCTTTGTTTTGTTTTCATCCTTGTATTTGTTCTTACTTCCTGGTCCCTTGTGCAACTCTCTCCTTCTCTCGACGTCTATCAAACACAACCAGACCGGACCAAACGGACCTAGATCGGACCATCTTAAAACCCCATTGGATTGGAATGGATGCCTTTTGAATATCCGTGGATTTAGTCTCTTAATCTCCCTGGATCAGACTCTTTGCGCTCTCTCTTATCTCACTCTTTCCTCGTCTCATCCGGGAGAGGACCATTGGATCCCCTCTACACCAAGGAACATGTACCCGGCAATGCTACCCACACCACCACCCTCGCCGGTGCCCCGACGCTATGCGCCCGAAGATCGCCTAGGACTCGTATTAGCCAACCGGCTGGAACTCACCAGAGTCCTGGGCGTCGGAGCCTATGGCGTCGTTTACACCGCCGTGGACATTCACACCAACGAGGTCTATGCCGTCAAGGTTCTCTGCAAGGATGGTCTGGATGCCCGTCAACTCAAGTTCCAGCAGCGCGAGATCAGACTCCACCACCTGGCCAGCCAACACCGCAATGTGGTTCCCTTGGTTCGCATCATGGATTCCGTGGATTGTACCTACGTCGTTATGGAATATTGCCCAGAAGGAGACCTGTTCTCAAACATCACCGATAAGGGAAACTTTGTCGGCAATGACTTTTTGGCCAAGAGTGTATTCCTCCAGATCCTGGACGCTGTACAATTTTGCCATACTTTGGGAATTTACCACCGGGACCTCAAGCCGGAGAATGTCCTGGTGACCGAAAATGGAATGACCGTCAAGCTTGCTGACTTTGGCCTGGCCACGACTGATTATTATACGACCGACTTTGGATGTGGTTCCACCTTCTACATGTCACCTGGTAAGCCTCAACTACCCTCTTTACTATGGCCGTCGCTAACTTGTTACAGAATGCCAACAAGCCAACGCC